CTGTGAAAGGCCAGGTGGTCGGAGCGGGAGAAGCTGCGGTCACAGTCCGAGCAGCGGAAGGGCTTGATGCCCGTGTGCTTGCGGAAGTGCCGGGTCAGCTCGTCGGAGCGGGCGAACTTCCAGGTGCAGCCTTCCCAGGTGCATTTGTAGGGCTTCTCGCCTGCACGAGGGGAGCAGAAAGGGGTCAGCACTGCAAAAATCACCACCACCCGCTTACAGAAAAAAAAAGGCAGGGTTTCTTGGCTGCAGCGGGATCACCACGGCCACGCGAACCCCTCCGCCTCTCTGCACTAGCCCTCGCCCACCTCGGCGCTCGCCCAGCGCGGTCCATTGGCGCCACCGGGTGCACGAGTGTTGCTTTTAGGCGTAACGCAGCACCGCACCCACGCCGTCAGCAAGACCCGAGACGGTGTTTTGGGGTGCACATCCCCCCGCCTGCAGCATTGCCCGGTCACGCCCCGGGGGACAGCGAGGGGCACCCCACTGGGTTCACTACGGCCCTCCCCGTGCATGGGTGGGAGGGGGTGCCCTCTGCCTCTGGCACCCTCCCACGGGCGGCATGCGACTGTAGCGGCAGCACCCCACCGTCCTCTCCAGGGCCTGCTGCAGCGGCACCCCACGGCAGAGCCTGGGGTCCCGCGGGGCCCCGGGGTGCCAGACCAGGGGGGTGCAAGCACGCGACAGGGGCACCGGGAGCCCTCCCTGGCAGAGGGACCCCAGGGCACTGGGGGCTGGCGAGGAGGGGGGAGCCCCAGCAGGGCCACCCAAGGGAGCGCCCCATAACCAGACCTGGGGGCGGGGCGCAGGAGGGTCCCCGAGGCATGGCCTTGGGTACCAGCACCCCCAAAGGGCCAGCACAGAGCCCAAGTGCCCCCCAAAGGGGGCCGCCCCAAACCCTGGCAGAGGGTGCCAGCATCCCCAAAGTGCCCCCCATCCACAAAGGGCACCCCCCAGCCTTGACACAGGGTGCCAGCGCCCTCAAAGGGCCACCCCGAGACCCCAAACGACCTCCCCACTCTCTAACACAGGGTGCCAGCTCCCCCAAAGACCCACCCCCGAGCCCAGGGACGGACCGCCATCGCCCCCCAGCCCATTAGGAGCCGGGGGCACTGATCCTGACCCTCCCGGACAGGGGGGTGTGCGGCGCTGGCCCCTACCCGTGTGTATCCGCCGGTGAGCTTTGAGGTGGGAGCTTTTGGTGTAGACCTTATTGCAGCCTTCAAAGTCGCACTGGTGGATGCGCCGCTTCTTCAGGTCGGGGGAATCGGCTCGCTGTCCCCGTGCCGCCGGCCTGCCGGGAGGAGGGAGGGATGGAGGGCACGGCCCCCGCGCCCACGGACCCCATGGGGCACCCGGGGACACGGCGGGGGACAACAAGGAGGGGGACACACAGATGGCGAGACTCACTCTCTCTGGAGGTCCTGGAAAGGGGCTGGGCCGCTCTCGGAGGCGCTGTCCTCGCTGTCGCTGTTCATGTCCATGGGGTACATGGAGCCCGGGTCAATTTTCACTGGTGGGGGGCGGGAAAGAAAAGCTATTGAGAAACAAGGAGGGAGGGGGTGAGGCTCGTGAGCAGAGAACAGATATGCGCCCCCCACAGAGATATGGGGGGGGCATGACATGGGGGGCACCCCTTTCGGCTGCCTGCTCCTGCCCAGAGGAGGGGAGATGCAGGCCCCCCAGCTCGGATAAGGTGGGAAGCTGGGAATGTCCTGGGGAAGGGCAGGGGGGGGGTACGGGGGGCGGGAGGAGGGCAGCTGAACTGAAACCAGAGCCCCTGGCAGCAGGATGGGTGGCAGGCAGGCAGGGCAGGCAGCGCCATGCCCAGAGTATCTCCTGCCCTTCCCGTGTCCCCTGGGGGGCACAGGCTGGGGCTGAGGGCCCTGGGGGAGCTCAGGGGGACTTTTGGGAACCCATCCTTTGGGTGAAGGTGGCAGATATCGGGAGGCAGATGTTAGGTGGGTGGAGATGACACCCCAGGGTGGAAAAATCTGATCCCCTCCAGGGGACCCCCCCACCCCCCAAATTTCAGGGTTTCCCCTCCACATGCCCTTACCGGACCCAGCGTTCTTGCCGTCCCCCCCGATGAGGGGTACGGTGATGGCGGTGACGCCATCGGGGGGCATGGTGGTGTAGACGACGGGGA